CATTAAGCGTGTGATTTCGGCTTACGTAAAACGAAATGAAAGAGAGTGTTCAAATACATATATAGTATTCTGTTACTAATGTTGTATTGAACTGTAGGAATATGTGAGAATAATATTTCGTTGGTACACACTCTCTGTATCACACCACCACAATATGACCAAAACCGACTTGTTGCAGTCTGAACTCACGGAATCGATCTTACCGTTCTACTGTGTAGCTCTCTGAAACTTCCTTGAGAGACACACAGTTACAAACATTCCAAAGAAAGGAAAAAGACGATTATTTGTTGCTGGAATCTGTAGTTTTACTCATCAATAATAACATCAAAAATTTAAAATCAACTCAACAATGCCGTCAGTCAGCTAGCTATACAGTCCAGTCTAAGTACTAAACGACTACCTACAATCAAGTAGAATAGTCCAAACAACACAGTGGGATCGAAAACTCTGTCCACGACAGTCACATGCCAATGCTTCCTGCAGACACTACAAGGTCACAAATCACCTTCATTCACTCAAATATTATTACGTCACAAAACAACACACTATCCATGTATCGGACAATCACAAATAGAAGTATCAAATTAGAGGTTAAATAGCGATGAAGACAAATGAATAGGGAGTGAATCAACAGGTGATATGCAAATGTCAGAACAATGATACATAACAGTCTAGGAGGAAAACGGATAATAATTACAAAGTTAGTTGAAACATCCAAATAAGTAAAGATACTGGGATTGGATCGTTCAATGGGAGGTATTTTCCAAAAACAGTCTTTCCGTTGCAATCATCATTCATCCATATGAAGTTTATAATCGGCCTGAATAGAATTCAAGGTGGAAAATAATCATGAGCATTAATTACTATTATATTCGTTGTTATTCATGGTCATACTTTTGTGAAATATGATGTTCAATTTACTGTTATATTTACACTCATCATGACATACACACATATTTTGAACACTATTCTGTTCGCATTTAAACCTTTTGAAATGTTAGTGGTTCGTTGTTATTCAAAAGAAAACATTCATGTTTTCAGTGACAGTGATTCTCCACTCATAATAAATTAATAAAACTGTAGAATCTGAAAATGTAGAAATCATCACAAAATCCTCCAACCGATCAAACGAAAATCCCTACATAACCAATACTTGAAAATTAATCTGATACACACTAGTGACTGGTCCTAATTGGGCAATTAACCTGGGGTTCTAGTGGGAAGCCGTGTCCAGTAGGGTACAGCAGGTTGAAGGTGGGGCAGTAACTCATTGAAGAAGATATTGTGAAGCGGTCGCGCTGTGTCATGAATTGGCAGAAGTTAGAATTCGTGGGCTGGTCATGGGATGGGGACCCAGTAGCTTAGTGGTCTATGAGCTAGCTCGCCTTGTAACCAGAAGGTTTTGGGTTCGAACCCTTACGGTGGATGCGTACTGATGGAGAGTCCCACAGAAGGGGGACAAAACAGCTGTACAATGTTCCCTGCAGGTTTTCCAATGGTTCTCTGACTGATGTCAGCTAATGATGAAATCCTCCAACTAATCCAACCAAATATCCCTACAAAAACCAATACTTGAAAAAATTATTAGTTCAGAAATCCCTATTTTCACAATTTATACTGATCATCTGTAAATATCCCTGGAGTATGTTCTGAGGCAGAATAATTTAAACCACTTATCGTTTTGTCGCTAACTCCTTCTGTTTCAGTCTCTACAGTTATAAATTCATTTAATATAAGAATACAATAGTCATTATCGGATGTGTTGAGTCAAAAATCAACTGGGATTGTAGCCTATATACCGCTAGTTTGAACCTCATTACAAGAAAAATTTCTAAACTTGAATAAATCGAGAAAGAGAAATATTCTCCTCAACTGACTATACATAATATGAACAATACCAAAAAAATAGTATTTAAGTTACATTAAATATTTGAACATACTTATTCCACAATGACAAAGAGTAACTGATGATAGGAACTAAGGGTAACATAATAAGGGAATGTTGTAAGTTGTTAAATAATTAATAGTTAAAAGGAAGGACTAAGTATTGGATAAATAGACAAATAAGCTTGGAAACAAAAAGACAGTCTCGGAAACAATAAATTAGGTTATGTAACTGTAGAAAACAATAAAATTCTTCGAACAATACATAAAAAATTTAGGAGAACGCATTACTTAATAAAACTGTGTAGTCTGTCATGTAAGGTTAGTCATTAAAGTAGTGTAGAATACATCAAAAACTCTTTCTTTAATAGTCTGATGGTGACTGCCTCAGTGAAAATAAGCAGGTTAGGTTTTTTCTGCCCGTTGGTTATTTTCAACACCTTTAGATTGTCAACAGTAGTGAACAGTTGCCTAAAGACGGCGCACATATCGTACTGTTCAACGCATCTTAGCGCTTTACTTCCAGTTTTTTTATATGTGTTCAAAAATACGCACAATAACCCTTCTCTATTTTGATTGGACAATAGTTAGTAACTAGTGTAATGTGTCTAGTCCTATGTTTGGTGCAGACTGAATTCTGTCAGTCAAGTTTGCAATGTCGTCACCGTCAAGGTAGGTGGTTCACCATTAAGGTGTACTGTGAATTGTTGATACTAGATAGGTGGAGGCGATCAGCAGGAAGCCTTGCTTGACCAAGGTCTCATGCTAGTTGGCACTCACCAGTCAGCAAGGCTTACCTACAGCCTGAAAGGAACACTTTGATGGCAAGCCACCAAGAATGTTAACCATATTGCAGACTTTACTGATACAGTTCGGTCTGCACCAAACAAAGGACTAGAAACACCACACTAATTACTAGTGTCCAATTGAAGTATCCAATACAGTCCTACAGAAAGGAGGTCAAATAGCACAGTGGTAACGTCTCTAAATGCAGCACTGGGTGACACGGGTTTGAGTCTCAGGAAGGACATAAGTTCCTTCAAGGTTGCAGATACGCCTTTCTGAATAGTGAATGCCAACTAGCACGAAACCTAGGTCCAAGGCTTCCTGCAGATTGCCTCCAATCGTATAATATCAACCCTTCTCTGTGTTCTTCCAATGTATGTGCGTTGAAACCTACATATAAAAATTGTTAAACACAGTTGAAGGTAACATGAGGTGGGAGTTTGTTCACTTTTGATTGTCTTAAACGGCTGGTCGTCTGATAAAGCTTGGCAGCTAGATATGTTCTTCTCAGGGCATTGTTCAGTCCTTTTAACTCGTGATATTGCAACAACTTACATCACTCCGAACTTATGTTACACTTAGTTCCTATCAACTACTCTTTTAGAAGGTAAAAGGATTTAGCGAAGACATATTTACTTTTCAATTAGATGCCCATCTATTGCTCCAGTCTGACACACATACCATTTCTAATAAAATAAAAAGAAATTAACCAGTCTAGTGGCGATAAGTTTGTTTATTGTGAAGAGGTGACAATTAACCAAGAAAATTAATACAAACAATTAAAACGGTAGAAATGATTACTACAAGTGGATCGGATAATCCATAATTTTGAAAAAAAATCAAAAGTGATTAATGAATTAGTGAGTTTTCAAGTTGATTATGTGATAGACAATTCAAGAAATATAAAGCAGTTTGGACAATGGTCATTTGTAAAAGGCTTAGGGGAAGGCTGGAATAGTCAGGTTTCCTCTACTTTTATGTAATGGTGGCTAAAGTATGGAAAGTAATTGGCGTTAGGAAATTCTTCTGAACAAACAGGTTTCGCTTCTTCAAGTGGATTTCGATAGCTTCATCTGTATGTATGTATAAGACGAACTCGTCAAGCGAATTTAATACAAGTCGGAATGCATTAAATAACTTCAAATGCTTTATTAATATCAGCTACGAATGGATCTTGTTTATCTGTTGCTTAACCCTGAAGGATGATGTTCAGAAATGCAGTGACTGAATCTGAGTAGTTTTACGCCCAATTACTCTTTGTCTTGTATTTTTAGCAATATATGTTTCCCTTTCAAACACCATCCTTTTGCGAAATCCCGTGATTTATTCATTGGGCCCAGGTGGCAATTGTTTGATGTGTTTGCAGTTGGTAGGAGCACTGTGGATCACTTTTCAGCACATATGTATATTGCTTGTCAAGTGACTAACCCCCCACCCCCACCATCGCTCTAGCCCTCTTGAAAAAAGAAACAGAGAAAAGGAAGAGCTTAAAAGACGCCTAGTCTAACACTGGAGCAACAGTACTCTACTGAAATATAAGTGTACATACAGTAAGTAACTGACCTATTCCCTGCCTAGCAAATTAATTCTCCTCTTTATTCAGATACGTACAGACGTAATTTTGTCTATATATATACATATATTTATATTTAAAAATGCATTATTCATTTTTTCAAATTTTTATGGAATGTATAAGTAAACATTAGATAATTTGGAGAAAGTATAGACACACGGACACGCATACATGCAAAGTATTCCCATCAATTAATACATAAATATTCTATATATAAATATATATACGTATACCAGTTTATGTTTTATTAGTTCTACTACATGCGTATATACATTGGTGCATATTTTTGTATACAGGCATATATGCATACATACATACATATATGGAGAGAGATGAACTCACAGAAGCTAATTTCCTCACTCACTCACTCACTCAGTTTTCGATAAGCTAGCTATACTTACTCACATAAATATGCACACAAATACACATACACGCACACACATGAAAGAAAGTCACCCATTCCCTGAGTGAGTATACAACATATATCTTTTTTGCCTACTATTTTATTTGGTCAAGTGTTCACGCGTATACAAAGAGAATGAGAACATATATTTTCAACTGTGATGAGAAGACTGACTCCTACTAATATTACTGCTACTACTACTAATACTAATACTACCACTACTGTTGAGTGAATGAGTGAGCGAGTGAGTGAGTGAGTGACTGAGTGGATGAGTGAGTGTGTTAGTGAATATGTGAATGAGTTTTCAAATCTAGGGAAAACACAAAGATAATTGGTCAATTTTAGGGATTCATGCCCAAATATTTATAATAAATTCTGTGTGTAAAATAATAAAAGTTATAAGATATTAACTAATGTTTATATTTAATTACTTATAGCAGAATCGAAAAGGAGGAGCACTACATACATTTATCACCGATACTACTGATATTACTAATAATATATTACTAGTTGAATAAAGGATGCAAATATGATTACTCACACACATATTATAGAAGCATTGGTGAATAGCAAAGAAACGGAATAATCTTGTTTAAAATACACAGAAATCAATTAATTAATCAGTTTTTAAAAAATACACATGAAAGTGATGCTCCGTGTTAACTGGAACGGAATCTGTTCAATGTGTTTAAATAACATTAATAATAATAATTATTATTTTAGTGCCGACGACATCAGCATCAAAAACTGAACTGCCTCGATCCCGATCGTCACCTATTTCCTCGAAACTGAGAAAAAGAAGACGACGAGGAAGAAGGCATGGAATCTCGTGAAGCCAGTCATCACGGCCTATTTGTTGTTACTGCTGTGCCATTTTATTTTATCAGATAATATTAGTCAGTTATTTCATCACCATATCATATCCTTTAATTTTCTGAATGACAACAATCAGTGATCCCTATTTCGGATTTGAATCTTTTAAGAATGAAACAACAACAACTACAACAACAACAAAAAATGTCTGCGAGAGAAAATCACATGCATATGTGTACCCCCTGGATATAATGTATCTGTTGCATGATATTGTAGCATCAGGTGTGATATAATCACTCAGTCAGTCAGTCATCAATCAATCAACTTAACATAACATAAAAATAGTCAAATTGACTGATAGCTAGCCGAGAGAGAGAGAAAGAGACAACAATCACCAGTAGCAACAGAAGAAGAAATGAGTGGATCTAGACGTGGTCTTGTTGCACCACAGAATACATTTCTAGACAAAATTATCCGTCGATGCAATGGACAATGTGAGTTCTATTAAACACTACCACTAGTTAATTACGCATAGTGCTCATTCTCACTTTCTTTTATTTATATGTGATTCTATACAGTTTTCAGTATATAAAATCTTGTTTAACACTTGACCCTTCAGGTTGTTATTATCTTTTTATTATAATTCCTTTATGTTTCCATAGGGCTTCAAGATAGAGGCTTGAAGTTTCGGTAGCAGTGGTGCTTGTTTTTTTTTACATGATGAAGTTGCTAGCCTCATGTCCAACCTTCCCTCTTAACCAGTCTTATTACTGGCTTAGCGAGGTGAATGGGGTGCGTCGGTGGCCGGAGATCGAACCCCGGACCATATGCGTGGTTGGCGAACATCCTTCAGGTTGTAGTCTCCTGAAATTACCACCTTATGAGGCTGACACTGACAACTCTGACACCTAATCATTAGAAAGCCAAATTATTATTATTATTACTATTAAGAGCTTGTTAGTATGTTTATAAAAATATGTAAAATAATACTGCTGGAGCAAAATTAGCTCTGGTAGCAGAAAATCTAGTTGTTATATATGCACTGAGAAGCAGGGTACCTGTGTATACGAATTAAAACTGATCAAGTCCTGTCTCAAATATGCACATAAATTTCATCTTAAGTCGCAAAAGTTTTCTCTTTATTCATGCCTTGATCAAATCTAAGTTGTATTCGAAAAATTGGCATATATATATATTGCACAACCATATTCATGATCGCAAATATCCAGACTACAGACGCCACTCATTTCCTGGAATAATTTGAACACGCTGAGTCCGCATATTTTAATAGTTAATAAATTCGCATTAATTCTGCTAAAGAAGTTATAGCTTACTCAGTGAAAGGTTCAGAAGAAAAAGGAAGCACGCTGAGGATACTGTTAAGCAGTCTGCTAATATATAATTGAGTCTGTATAATTTTGGTTTCCGTACTAATGTTTTGTGACTAGTATTCACGTCTTGCGACAACAACGGATTCTTTTTTGTCATGTTCACAAACAAAGAGATGTTATGCCCATTTTAATTTTTCCTTTGTCAATATGTAGAATTACAATAGCAGCTTTAGTGTGTGAGGGAGAAAAAGGAAAGACATCTTTGCTCTGATTTCATTCCAAGTAGATGACTAATTCCTGTGTATCACAAAAAATACGCAAAATATTGTATTCTGTAGATTTCTGTGTCCCCCACCTTCCACCTTGTGATTAATACTCATTTGTCATCAAAACTACCAATTTTATTACGTTTTTGGATGAATTTCTAAAATTCAGTAAGTTGGAAATTATAACCTCCCTTAAATTACACCTTCCTTAGAATACGGAATTTAAAAAATAATAATAATAACGACTTATAGATGCCCATAAAAAACTGAAAAGACTGAGTTTAATGAACAAAGAACATTCTTTTCGATAAATTCGTCATCACGTTCTACATTTATATGAAAGTATTAATTAAAGAAATACACTGTTATCAACATCATTAATTCTGTTTTAAATTACGTTAAATCAATAGTATCGATAGGTGATTACAGTACAAAAGCATCAGTAAGTGAGAGAGACTAATATGCCTTAATATAACAAAACTTGACTGATTGAATATCAGATCATTTAAGAGGAGTGACACATAATTCATGAATTTGTAGATTACACAGCTTTGTTCCTGCGTGGCATATAAGAAATTTGGTAAAAACCTTCAGCTATAGCGTCAGATCGACTAAAGACGACACGTTAACTGACAACAACTAACCTGAAAACTTCATCACAAAACACACCACCAAGAGAGTAGAGAAGAATTCTTTTCTATCTGTTAACATGAAATCTCCATACATACGATTGTTATTCAAAGGTGATATACTAACAAGTCGAGAAAGTCGACTCAAAGAACATTTAATGCTGGTCAAACTGAAGACTATATTCTCCACATAACCGGTCGCGATTCAAAAACTGAAAGATGAAATAGTGACTAGGTTAGCCACCTCTTCTTGTATCTACCAGTTCAACTGCTGCTGTGCTCCAGTCAGTTGTATTAGCCACTGCTCTAGGAACCTAATTTTACATTCTCAGGAACACCTATCAGTGTGACTAAGAGAAAGGTTCCGTAAAAATCACTGGTGCTTCGATATTATAGCACCGCGTCTAACCAGATCACAAAGCTAGTATTAAAGTGTCTCTACCTATTGTCTATGGGGGATAGAATAAATTACCAAAGGCCTCTATAAACTGAACACTCAAAACATCAGAGGCCATTGAGTTTCGCTTGAATCAATTGGATCCCTTTGTGCGAAAGAAGCAGGCCCTCTGTCAGTCCTATAAATTCATAAACTGTATGTGTGTAATCACCTATCAATACTACGGACTGAGTGTTATTTGGGAGAAAACAATAATGTTGTCAATGAGAATACTTCTTTAATTACTACTGCTATATATAAATGTAGAACGTGATGGTAAATTTGTGGAAAAGAACCTTTCATACATTTGGTTTCTCTATAGAAAAGAATATTCTCTGTTCATTAATCACTCTTTTAAATAATAATAATAATAATAATAATAGTTACTATTTCAAGTCGTGTTGTATCAGCAGAAGGCAAGATACGGAAGCCAAGGTATATTTTCCACCGCTGTTTATATATCTACAGTTTATATTCGTTAACCAATCACTGACCATGTGATTTTGCTTCATATTAAACGACATGAAATAGCATGTTCAACTATACATAGTATTTTGTTGCTAACATGGCATTGAACTGTGAGAATAATATTCTCACTCCAGCAACAAATATATATCGTGTTCTGTTGCTAATGCTGTATTGAACCATGGGAATATGTGAGAATAATATTCCGTTAGCACACATTGTCTGTATCACACCACCACAGTGTATATAAATTACACTTATCCAATGGTAAAATCCATTGATATGCTTAATAAAGATCTTGATATTAACATGGAATCAAGGGTATATAACAACATCACCAGGGGGATATAATGCCAAGCTACAAATTTCCCCTGCCATTTCGATGTAACTTAACCCGATGAGTATAAATCAGCATAACGATCATGATTAGAACGATTGTAGGGGGAAAAGAGCATATAAGCTTCCAGTTTACTCACAGATTGACTTCATTTAGAGCACCATTGAAGTCCATGGAGTATTGAACGCCTTTTTCGGCCTTGCTTGTGACTCCTCAGCGGTATGCATGCGAAATCCAATCAGCAAAATAATGAAAACTGTTGGTTATCTTTTCTTTTCTAGCACAATTAATAGCGACATCTTTTTCTTATTTGTTGATTACACTAGAGAAAAGGAGAATTTCCATCCAGGGAAATATATGGTGTATGAAAATGAAATTACTATTCTTATGTTTCTGTTAAACAAACTACTAATACTACAGTAGAAAAAACCTATTAGAATAAACTGTATCAAATACCATGCTACTACTGTGAAGGTTGGTTTCGCTTTCAGATCGACATGAGTTCAAGCGAGCAATGAAAACCAGCGAGCGCTATGAACAAGTTAAAATAAGACAAAGGTGATTCGATTTCGTCCAAGTCATTAAATGACAGTGTGCATACTGCGAAACCTTGACGTCTTGGGATGTATTCCAGTGGGCGCCTGTGTGTGTGTGAAAGCGAGTGAAAGAGCATCGGTGTATAGTTTAAATGAGACTAGAACTAGAAACGAAGCAAATATCCGGCTACCGTCAGCTTCCTTCCTTCATTCGCCCTTTAACTGTAGTCGTTTCTTGAAAGCACTCGTCATTAATCTGGTTGACTACTGGTCACAAGTGGTTTCAGAACGCCTGCATAACTAATTCATCTAGAAATTAAATACTTTAAAATACTGATTAGTGGACAAAGAATATTCCGCTCGATAACTTCTTCTGCCTCAGGGTCTACAAGATTATCAACACATAGTAATTAAATAACTATTGCTGTCATTGACAACATTAGTGTTTTTCTAAATAATAATGAATCATCATTAAGATCAAAAGATTACATTGAATGCATAAATGTAATACTAAACTGAATATATCACATATCAGATTCCACAACCAACCAAGGTAGTAACTGGATCTGTCTCTATATTGTACTCAGAATTCCAGCTGTTTTTCCAGAGAATGGCTATAGCTTCTACTCTTTATAGTACTCGGTAGCATTTTATTTAGTATTCTGTAAACGATTTAATGCTCTGTTTGAACCAATGTTCCCTAGAACTAGAAATCAAGTTCTTAGGGCAACGACTGACGTACTGTGAACATCTTTAATTAATTTAGTATTTTGTACTTGGAAACCAGGACTCTTTCTAGGCACAGCAACAAGGTCATTTGAATTCAAGGCTTAAGTCCTATGCATGACTTGAACACAGGGAAAAGTGAATTCTGTAAGAAGAAGAATATGGATAAACAAAAGATTTTTAAAAAATCAAGTGTTGATTTGCAGGGATTTGATTATTTAAAGGATTTCATCAGGAGCTGATGTCGGTCAGAGAACCATTGGAAAATCTGGGAGTACTGGACAGCTGTTCCCAGGTTTTCAAATAATTCTCTAACCACTGTCAGCTCATGACGAAATTAAAGAAGTTATTTTGTTGCATTAACAAATTGATGAAATGGCGCGTCTTTTAAACTTTTTCTAAATATTCGGTAGAGGAACTAGATATTTGATTGGTTTCGTGTATGTAGGTGTGTGCTTGTGCAGTTTATCACACCTTCACTCCTGTTGATCTTGGTAATTAGTCCATCTGAAGTGTATTCTGCCTTTCATAAAGGGACTAGAAAATATTCATGTGACTGGATTTTACTGAATAGTGTAATTACTATAGTGAGTCACTTTCAGTAGTGAATGGAGTGAAATTTTGCTGATAATCAGTAGTTTGTTCACAAGTGATTTTTACTTCTTGTGTAATTGTCAGAATCAGTGTAAATAAATCGAGGTTATTTACACAAGAGTAGTGTGCCTGTTTATGTTACCAACTAAGATTTTAGCTGATAGCTGAATTCAT